CTGGGAACAGGTATGGAAAAGAGAGGATCCAGGGAGACCTTGGAGCCCCTTCCAGAGCCTAAAGGGGCTCCAGGAGAGCTGGAGAGGGACTTGGGACAAGGGATGGAGGGACAGGACACAGGGAATGGCTTCCCACTTGCATAGGGTTAGATGGGAGATTGGGAAGGAATTGCTGGCTGTGAGGGTGGGAGGGGCTGGGTTGGAATTCCCAGAGGAGCTGTGGCTGCCCCTGGATCCCTGGAAGTGTCCAAGGCCAGGTTGGATTCCCTTGGAGCAATCTGGGATCGTGGAAGGTGTCCCTGCCCAGGGCAGGGGGTTGGGACAGGACGAGCTTTAAAGTCCCTTCCAACACAAACCATTCTGGGACTCTGTGTTTTCATATCTATCTGTATCTATAAAAAATACGCCTCCCCTCCATATATATATATATATATATACACCCCCCCACCTCATCAGAACCCCAAACCAACCCCACATCCCAGTGACCCTCCCCAGCCCAGGGGGACCCCAGGCAGGCGGTGCCAGCAGAGGGCACCTCGGCCCCGTTTTTGGGAGCCGCTTCCCAGAATGCAGCGAGCCGGGCCGGGGGCTCCGCACGCCGGGCTGCGGCCGCAGGGACAGCGCCGAGGGGGCTCCGGGGGCAGCGCAGCCCCCCCCAGGTAAGGGGGGCCGGACACTTTGGGGTTTGGCTGGGATATATTATTTCATTTCATTTCATTTTATGCTATGCTGTTTTAATTTATTTTATTTTATTTTATTGTTTTCTTGTTTTATCTTGTTTTTCTTACATATCTTGTATTTCTTATATCTCAGTGTTGTACCTTATTTATTTATTTTATTTCACTTTATAACCGCTTTCCCCACCCGGCGCGGGAGGGGTGCCCCGGACTCAGCCGGGGGAGCAGCACCAGCCCCTCCCGGGATGGGTCCGGCTTGGAGGGGACCCATCCCTCCCCATCCCCTTTCCCCTCCTTATCCCTACCCCTCCCTATCCCGAGACGTCCCCGGGGCTGTGGGGGTGTCCCCGGGGCTGTGGGGGTGTCCCCGAGGCTGGGGGTGTCCCCGGGGCTGCGGGATTTTTATTTTTTTTTATTTCCGTGGGATGACCCCTGGCTGAGCTGGCGGCTCGGTGTTCGGGATATCACCCAAATCCCTGAAGTTGGGGGAAAAGTCGTGCCGGTGGCCCCGGGGGGGGTGGCACTGGCTCATCTCCCGCAGCGCCGGGATGGTGCAACATAAATTAGGTTTAATGTGACGGCGGCGTTCGAACGGCGGGGCGGGGGCTCCTCTGCCCCCGCTTGGAAGTTGCTTTTCGAGTTTGGCGATTTGGGCCGCGGGGGATGGCGAGGAAAATTGGCGGCTGTGGAAGGTTTCCCGTGCCACGAGGAGAAATCCCTGCTGGGAGGGAGAGCCTGGGATGGTCAGGGAGGAGGTGAGTGGCCTCTTCGAAAGGAGGGGAGTGGGTTCGGCTTGCCCTTGGGGAGGGATCTCGGGAGCCCCGGTGTGGTGGGTCCCCCCTCCGTGGTCTGGCTGTGCCATCTGCCTTCACTCCTCGTCCTGGGATGTGAACCAGGAGAGAGCAGGGAGAGCAAAAGGACCTGGAGAAGTCAGGATGCTCCGGGCTCAGCTCCGTGCTCGGGTCCCCCGTGGTGTCACAGGTCTGGGGGGGTTTGCTCGGGACTCGCCATCTCCCTCGCGTCGTGTTTTGGTCGGTCAGCTGGTTAAAAGCCTGTTTGGCAGAAAAGCCCCCAGACGGAGCCGCATTAAAGACATTTTCCTGAGCCAGGGAGGGAAGTTGGCCCCGGGCTAAAGCAAATAAACTTGTATTTCATCATGCTGGGCTGGGCTTTCTTTGTGTTCCGCTCTGCCCCGGCCAGTCTGGGCTCCCTGCGGCCACAGATGGTTTACACGTCCAACCTTCGCCTTCAAAAACGCGTCTCGGGGGGCCGAGCAGAGAAACTTCTGCTCCTTTTCTGCGGACGTGGCTCCTCTCGGGGGCTGCTCGGTGCTCTGCCTCCCCCGAGTTCTTGCTTTGGGTGTTTCTCCCCCTCGGGGCTGCTGCGGGAAGGGGGTTTGCAGGGGTTCCTGTTGCCGGGAGATGCTGCAGCCGTGGGAAGTGGGAGCATGGCTGACCTGCGGCAGCCGGAGCCGGGAGCTCTGCCAGGGATGCGTGGCCGGAGCTGCTCGGCTCGGGGGGGGGGGGCAAAGGATGCTGCAAAGGAAGGAAAACTCTGTTATTTTTATGTCCCTGGGAGGGGTGTTTGAAAAGAAAAGGTGCTGAGATATCTCTCTGCCCATCGCCACTGCTGCAGACCTGGCCGGTCCGGGAGCTCAGATATGTCCCGGGGATTTTGGGAATGTGCCTCTCCGGAGCAGGGCTGAGGTGTGAGGTGACTGACACCATTTATATGGGGCCGTAAATGTTCCTAATTGCCCGTGAAGGAACCTCGAGCAGGAGCTTTCTCCTTGCTGGAAGAGCCTGTGTGGTCTCAGGGATTCAGGATGGACACTGGTGTATGCAGGAGGTGCAGCCCAGTCCCATCCAGGCAGATGGCACAGACCAGGAGTGGGGAAAGCGGGGTATTAGTAGGGAAGAAAATAAGCAAAGCTCAAAACGAAATGAGGTGTCGTGCCCTGATGTGCTCTGCTGAGGGGGGTGTGAGCCTGCTGATCCCACAGGAATGGGCCTGGAGAACCTGTGGCTTCATCTCTGCGGCGGTGCCGGCACGGAATCTATGGCTGAGAGTGAAAATCGGTGTAATTTGTTAAATTATTCCGTCTTCTCATGAGAAAAACAGATGAAACGTAGGTGCCAATGTCTCGAGTGCCTGTGAAATGCTGTTACTTTGGGAGGGAGGGAAGACTGAGCAGGTTCCATCCCTTACTCACAACATTTCCAGCGCTCTGAGGGGGTTTTTAAACCACACGTGCCCTCGCATTTCCATATAATTGGATGCATGGGAAGCAAACTCTGAGGTGACACGAGGCAGTGGAGAAACCCAGGTGGGTTTTTCCCCAGCAGGACCCTTTGCTGGGTCCTTTGAGAAGGCCCTCCTGCTCTAGTCCATCTGTGGCCAGTGTAGGTGATGCTTTCTCATCTCCAGTACATTTTTGGCTTCTTTATATCAGTCTTCGTGCCTTGGGTGGGGGGGAGAGGGAGGGTGGAAACGTTGGAATTCCTGTTGAAAAGTTTGACATTTCACAGCAGATAATGCCAAATGTAGAGACAGTTGCTTGGATTTGGCTCTTTTTTTGCTGAGTTTAAGGGAAGGCAGGATGGGATTCAGGCTGGAGGTGGAGGGAGGAGGTGGCACGTACACCCCTCGTGGCACGGTGACATTCAGCTCTGGGGTTTTTAGCAGGCATTCATCTCTGGGAACAGGCTCTCTTTCCAAGTTGTTTTGTGCCCAGAAACTTGATTTAGTCACATCCAGCAAAAATATGGAGGCGAGGGAACCTCTGCTCTCCCCTGTCACCAACATCAGTTTCTGTGGCAGCTGTGATTTGGTCGCTGGGGATCCCAAAAAGCATTTTGTGGTCATTGGGTGAGTTGGAATTGAAGGTTCACGTTGCTTCCTTCATCTCTTCTGTTTCTCTGGGAAGGGGAAAAGGGTTTCCAGCCCCGTGTCCATGTTTGTCTTTATTATACCTGCAGTTGGTCTCTGGTGGGTCCCGGGAGCAGCTGCCTGGACTTGGTCAAACAGAAGGTTTTCTGATCCTTGTGGCAGGACCAGGACAGGGTCCTGGTGGCCCTTCAAGTGGTGGAGGAGTGGTGGGCACTGGTGGCTTGCGTGGGACGTACACATCTGCTGATTGCTCCCACCCAGGGGTGGCTCCTTCCAGACGTGCCATTTTTTGGGGGGTTTCTTTCCCAAACATCCACGGAGTGGCACTGGGATGTCCAGTGGCAGAAGGAGGTGGTGGCACCTTGCCCAGCTGCTCTCTGGGCTGTGTGCTGTCTCCCTGCCCTCTCTGCTTTCCCCTGGAAGAACCAGAGGGTTTGCCATGGAACGTGGCCTGGGGATGCTTTTTCCTCCAAAACGGGCCTGAACTTGCCCAGTTCTGCCGCGAACCCTCCAGCTGCTCGCGTGGGCTGTTCTGCAAAAACAAAAGCACTTAAAAAACTACTCTTTTCCCCAAAAATAGCGTTGGTGGCTGGGACCCTCCCTGGGTTGCATTCCTGGTGGTCAGAGAGTGGGTTTATTAGTTAATAAGGCGATAATCATTGATGAAAATCGCCCAGCAATCCCGACCCACCTCCAGCGTGGCCTTGGGAATAAAGGGAGCCACTTCCAGAGGCTGCTGCAGGGAGTGCTGGATTTGCACCTCACAGTGCTCTGTACCTGGCTGAGTGCTACAGGTTTGAGTAGCTCCCTGTGGGGATCCTCTTTCGTATGAAAATGGTTAAAAAAAAAAAAAAAAGAGATGTTCTTGGATGCTTTGAGTGCTGCTGACCTCATGCTCTGTGGTCCTTTCGCTGAGTCCTGGCCCTGGCCTTGGGTTGCAAATCTGAGATTTCTTACAGCCGAAAATCTGAAAATTTCAAACAAAAGCCCGAGCAATTCTTCCCTCTCCCAGCTTTTATTTCACAGTTCACCTTTCTTTCCAGCTGTAATTCCTGCTGGGGCTTCTGGCTTTCCTAGAGAAAGGGTGAGGGTAAAAAAAAAAAA